TAAACTCATGCCAGGCACGTGTGCATGTGTGCCCGAGATCCCAAGAGGAGAATGGAGGAGAAGGGATTGCGATGTGGTCATCCGCCCTGGGGGGGTGATTTCTCGCTTTCTGTCTCTCTGTCTCTATCTTTCTGGTGAGCGCACATGCCCTATAGCAAAAACCTCTCCAAAAATAAATAAATAAACAAAAATTAAAAATTAAAAAATAAAATGATTAAGTTACAAAGGTGTAATTTGAGGCAGATTCTTTCACTGTATTAGTAACATGGAAATGATGGATCTTTGGTTTTATAGAAAATACAATTCATTAAACTTAGTATTCTCAAATTTTAGGGGATAATTGCTGTTATCAGATAGTTTATTTTGTAACTATTAAATTATCTGTATTCTAAATGTATAAATATTGTCTACTCTAACTTTTCAATAAAAAAGAAGATTAGTGTTAAAACTTTCAGGTGCCATATAAAAAATAAGAACAGGTGGTGCTAATAGCAATGGATTTTTTAAAAAGGTTTTTGCCACAGAGCATGTACCCTTGCTCCATCCTTTCAGGATTTGGGTCAAACATGCCCCAAATGTTTTTCATGTCACAGAGCTGGCCTTCGAACTGCAGTTGGTCATGTGGGATCGAGGTCCCTTAGTCACCAGGCTTTGGGGCTGGCCCTTAGTTACCTATTTGGAGTTAGCATTGATATCAGAAGCACCAGCAATGTCCTGAATACTTACAAAGGCCAAATTTACAGTTAAATCTTTTCAAAACAAAATAGCTTTAAAGATCAGTATCCCATTCTGAATGACTTATCCAGAATTTATTTCAGTAATATGGTCTACGTGTATTCCCATAATAGTTTAGAATATAAATAAAGTATTGATTTCACATGCTTTTTTATTTATTTTTTTTTAGAGTTTTTTGCTATAGGGCGCGTGCGCTCGCCAGAAAGACAGAGAGAGACAGAGAGACAGAAAGTGAGAAATCATCCCCCGGTGGGATGGCTACACCACTCCCTTTTCCTCCATTCTCCTCTTGGGATCTTGGCCACACATTCACATGCACCCAGCATGAGTTTAAGCTACCAGGTCCGATACTCGAACCTCAGTTGACTACATGGGAGTCCAGCGACATAGCCATTACGCCAACTGCTGGTTCCTTTTTAAATTTTATTTTATTATTTTTTTTATTTCATATGTTTTATACCTTCATATTTATGAAATAACTTGCCCTAAGGAGTACAGGGATATGTCATGTCAATACAGGGCTGAATTAATACATTTTTGAGAGAAACTTTTTTTTAACTACTTCATACCAACTAGGGTGGCTATAATCAAAAATACAGACAGTGAAAGAATTGATAAAGATAAGAAAAAATTAGTACCCTGGTGGAATTTGCAGTAGCGAGACCACATTGGAAAACAGTTTGGCAGTTCTTGAGAGTTAAAAATAGAGTGACCATCTGATATAGCAATTTTATTCCTTAGTATATAATTAAGACAGCTGAAAGCATGTTTACATAAAAAATGTACACAAATGTTCATAGCTGAATTATTCCTAATAGTTAAAAAGTAGGAACAACCCAAATGTCCATCAGCTGATGAATAGATAAACAAAATATGGTGTATCCATACGATGGAATATTACTCAAGCCATAAAAATAAATTAAGTATTGATTCATTCTACATGAACCTAAAAAATATCAAAAAACAACATATTCCATGATTTTATTTAAATGAAATTTAAGAATAGGCAAATCCAGGTGCCAGCAGGTGGTATGGTGGTTAAAGGCACTGGGTTCCCACATGACTGACCACTGTTCCAGTCCCAGAGGTGGTGGCTAGCTTTCTCGCTTTCCCTTTCTCTCTCTTTCTGTCTCTGTCTAGTCAAATTAAAAATTATTATAAATGGAACTAAATAAATAAATAAGTCTTTTTAAAAAAAGAATAATCAAATCCATAGACAGAAAATAGATTAGTGGTTTCCAGGCCTGGCAGGAAATGGGAATTAAAAGTGACTGCTAGGTTGGCTTCACTGCACAATGTAGCATCACTATACTTTGGGAGCCAGATCGCAAATACTTTACCTTGGTTTCTGTCCTGGCCCTGGCAGCTTGAAAAAAACACACTAGGCACATGTACCCACATGCCCCCAATCCTGATGTGATGAAGAAATGGAAGAATTATTATTGCATTGTGACCACACCCCATTGGGGACAGTTCTCAATGTCTCTCTCTCTGTCTCTCTCTCTGTCTCTTTTGGCCAGAGGATCATGTGTCTTACTTGAGACAGAAAGATGGAGAGAGGAAGGGGGAAAAAACACTCCCTCATGAGTACGATTACACTGCAATCTCTTCTCTTCCATTTCTCCATCCTATTGGGATTTTTGTGAACACATGGTCTTGTGCTGAGCATATTTGAAGCCACCTTGGGCTGGGATTCATACCTCTTGGTTGGCCATGTGGGATCCAGCTCCCTTACCAAGGCCACACAGTCTGCCAACATTTTTTTTTTAATGTGCTAAATGTTTTCAGTCAGATTGTGGTGATACACAACTTTGTGGATATACTAAAAACTACTGAACTGTACTTCAAATTCACTTCAAAGGGTGAACTTTATGGTATGTGAATTATGTCTCAAAAATGTTTATTATTTACTTTTCCTTATAAAAGGATATTTTTTAAGAGAATTTTTTTTTTTTTTTTTTTTTTTGGCTATAGGGTGTATGCTTTCCCCAGAAAGACAGAGAGACAAAAAGCGAGAAAAAATCACCCCCTCAAGGGGGATGGCCACATCACAGTCCCTTCTCCTTTCTCCTCTCAGGATTTTGGGCATGCACGCACAAGCACCCAGCCTGCGTTTTAAATTGCCAGATCTGGTCAACTATGTGGGAGTCCAGCAAAATAACCTTCACATCATCTGCTGGTCCCTAAAAGGTTATTTTTTAAATAAAGTCATGGGAGTGGGAGGCAGACTGTTTGCAGCACTAAAATGCAGTGCTCTACGAGGCTGACCAACCTGGAAAGGTTCCAGGTTCACATCTGGAGACCACTCAGAATATACCAGGTATGCACGTGCTCACCATCCAGACCTATTTCTCTCTCGCACATGCTTATGTAAAAATAAATAAACTTTAAAATAAAAATAATAAAATTGTAAGAAACTCTCTTTTTGTTAAACACAAAAGCTGACATGTACCTTAAAACCCTGTTGAATATTAAGTATATGTATTATATGCATTGTAGAGAACATCCACCAATCTGAATGTGAGCTACTTTTACCAAAGATAAGCTTGCCAGGAATGAAATAGCCTATAGCAGTTATCTAGTACTCATTATCTCTGATTATACTTTGCATGTTATTATCACTTCACAGGAGTAAAAATGACCTTTAAAAAACTTGTTAGGGCCAACCTGGTAGCCTAGTAGTTAAGGGATCTGGATCCCACATGGCCAACTGGTGTTCAAATCCAGTCTCAGGCAGTTTGAAAAGCACTCTGGGCATGTGTGCATGCGTGCCTAAAATCCTACCTGAATGAAGAAATGGAGGAAAAGGGAGTTAGTCTGACCACATTTCATTGCAGAATGCTTTCTTCCTCTCTTTGTCTCTCCCAGGCCATTAAAAAAAAAAAACAAAAAAAAAAAAACAGAAAAAAAAAAACCCACACAACTTTTTAACATTTGTCTTTTCTCAGGAATGTCATTAAGAGTCTCATATAATAGCAGATGAAGCATCATTGCTGTTAAGTGGAATATAAAACTGGGTTTGAGATCCAAACTGAAATTTTCTAGCTGCTTGTTCTAACTAAAGAAGTTATTTGACATCTCTGAATTTTAGATTTTTCATTTGCAAAATAGGGCTTTTTGTAAGTTTGTTGTAAATAAGGTATCCCATGAATGAACCAGACTTTGCTCTCTGCTTTCCTCTCCTACACATTCTCTGTTCTTCTAAGAATATGTCCAGGCCCATCTCTCCTCCTGCCTTACACACACACACACACACACACACACCACAACATACAAACTCTGCACAAGCCAAGCTAGGTTTCTTCCTGAATGTGCACCCTAAACGTAGGGATGACCCTATTGAAACCATACTCTGTTGAATTTTCATTTTCATTTGTCTATCTTCCTCTGAAAACTGTAAGTTCTTTAGAGGGAAAAACAGCAGTATTTTGTGTATCAACACATGCCTATTACCTAGTGTAGTAACTAGTTCAATAAATATTTGAATAAGTGAATTTCAGTAACATATCTAGCATACTGGCTTCATAATAGTGTCCTGAAAAGACATCATGCATTTGTGTTTTGCTTTCTGTTAGAACACATTGAACCTGAAGTATTCAAATTTATAATGTGTGGTGATTTATATGTTAAGTGTAAGATTTTTATTACTGGTTATACTTATGGAATGAAGAGAATGTTCCTTATCTGTGATGTAAGGGAATGTTGTGGTTCTACACATATCTTCACAATTCGTACATTGTATTTTCTTGTAATATCCTAATATATATATTTAATAACTTAATTTATTTTACAAGTGTTCAAGAATTTGCAGTTTAATGTGCATGTGTTATGCCTTTCTTCTCCATCTGACATTATTTAGGATTAGAAGGAAGTAGCAAGCGTGGAGACAGTGCTATAGATTTAAGAAGACCTCAAAAAAGTCTTTTTTATACAAAAAATGTAAAAATTAAATCACTTTAAGTAATGTAATGAAATTTGTTCTTACCATTTTTTATTTTAAATGTCTTGCAGAATAATAATGATAGATAGATATAATTATTTTTTGATGGAAGGAATGAAAACAAGGGTGAGATGGAGGAAGTTCATTGATTTGTTTTTTCTTAGGACTTATATTTTTCCATACATATGGCTATCTGAATTATTTATAAAGGCATTACTGAATGAATACAAAATATTAACTGCAAAAATATGGAGGTATGGAAAGACTCTTAAGTGTTATGATACTATAAATCATTGCGACTGCTTTCCTCTTCTGTTTCTTTTAGGTACAGAGAACTACAACTTAGTACGGAAAGCAAAGTGACAGAATTTCTCCATCAGAGTAGATTAAAATCTTTTGAAAGTGAGCGTGTTCAACTTCTACAAGAGGAAACTGCAAGAAATCTCACACAGTGTCAACTGGAATGCGAAAAATACCAGAAAAAATTGGAGGTACATGGACAAGCTTTTTTTTTTCCCCCTGACATTAGCATAGTAGGTAAGCTTCCTAAGAACAAGGCTTATATCTAGCTTTATTTCTCCCATAGGATCTGGCACTGTCTGCCAAACCCCCCTCCCCGCCAAAAAAAGAAGTATTTCAGAAATATGTACAGTAAGAAAGACTGAAAGTCATAGAAAGGTATCCAGAAATACATAATTACTTGGGATATTTTTAAAAAGAACAGTTCAGATCCATATAAAGAAAACAGTAGGACTTCCCTAATTATAAAAGAAGAAACACCTTTCTGGGAGCATTTCGTATTTATACATATTTTATGTTTATTTTAATTTATGTATTTTACATTCATTCACTGTACATCATCACAGCATACACAATGAGATTTCCCATCCAGAATACGTATGTATTGGCTTAATAATATTACTATACATGTTATCATCAACAAATAATTTTTCCTTTCTTGTTTCCTATATATTTTGCAGTTTTCTCTATTGATTTCCTACTTCTCACCCTTTATACATTTTTCAGTTTTCATCCCTAATAATTACATATTCATTTATAAACAACTGCTAGTTTGCTTTTAAATAGTGTGTGTTTTATCTATCACAGAGGGCATGCATCATTAGTTTTTGAAGATCTTTTATCAAGAAAACATGTCTTTCTCATCTAGATAAATAGATGGAAAAGAATGGACCATTTTCAAGAAATGTGAATTGCTAAAAAAAAAAAGATGAAAATATATATATATATATATATATATATATATATATTTTTTTTTTTAAAGATAGATTTTGTTCTCAGGATTTGGGGCATACACACATACCTGGTGTGAGTTTTAAGCTCCCAAGTCTGGGACTTGATCCGCAGTTGACTACATAGGAGTCCAGTAACATAACCATTACACCATCTACTGGTCCCAAAAAATAGATGAAAATATATATTCTGAGAATGAAATATTATTTTTTTTTTATATAAAATTGTCTTATAGGTCTGTGTGCTGTTTTTAAAGCGCTGACAAGAATACTCTTAAATGGGAATCTCATGCAATCAGGAAAAGGAACAGCCCTTTGGAGTGTGATGTTGAAATTTGTGATAAGGCTTGAAAAACTGATGGAGTAATTTTAGTTATGGGAGTTGCATGTAAAGAAAATTTTAAAAAACCTTATAAAAGGGACCAGCAGGTGGCGTGGTGGTTAAGGTGCTGGACACTCCCACATGGCCGACCGCGGTTCTAGTCCTGGATCTGGTGGCTTGCTTTCTCACTTTCCCTCTCTCTCTTTCTCTCTCTCTCTGTGTCTGTCTCTGATCAAAATAAAATAAATGAATGAATAAATAAGAATAAATAATTTTAAAAACCTTATAAAGGTTTACAGTAATGATGTACATCACAGCATTATTTATTCTAGTAAAAATTGGGAGTAACTTAAAATGCCCAACAATAGATAATTAAATGATTTTTAATTAGTATTGTAAATTGTATATTTTGCTGTGTCCATGCATGTTGGTATTGTTGCATGCATTCGTGGTCTTGAATATTTTAGATTTGGGCAAGATATTCCCAAAAAACGTTGAATGACGTTGGCAATTATGACGTTAGCATGATCGCGACTATGGGTTATGTGTTCAGTAAAAACCATAAATATACCTAGAAAAAAAGATTTAAGAAAAATATATTAAAACATGAAACTTTGTTTCTGAATGGTGTGATTATAGGTGACTTTTATTTTCTTCATTTTTCCTGCTAAATTATTAGGTCCACAGTGGCAAGGTCTGTACCTTTTGTTTTTCTTTTACATGACCAATACATATATTCTCAGGTCCTGGCCAGCATCTGGCATGTAGTTAATGGCATTGATTGTATATGGTACTTTCTAACTAAGCATCTGTTAGGTGATAAGCCCTGTTCTGGCCCAGATTACACACACAGCTTTTAACAAGAAATAATGCCTATCTTCAGAAGAAATGTTGCTTATCTTCGGAAACTAAGTTTGGAACAGGGCTTTTTTTTTTTTTTAGCCACCGGGTCTGGGACCCGAACCGCGGTCGACTATGTGGGAGTCCAGTGACATAGCCATTACGCTAACTGCTGGTTCCCTGGAACAGGGCTTTGATGGGAACTTTCTGTAATGATGGAAATGTCCTAAATCTGCACTATCCATTTCAGTTCCCACTCAATGCATGTGGCTCCTTAGCACTTGAAACATAACTATTGCAAGTGAGGAACTAAATTTTTATTCTAGTTAAATCTAGATTTCATTATCCAGGCGTGGCTAGTAACTGTTACTAAACCATATGTTCTAAACAGTTTACCATATCACACACATTCTTATTACTATTAGGCAATAGTGAGATTTTAAAAGTTTTTTCTTTAGTTTTATCATAATAGAGCAATGAGAACTTTTCTTTCTTAATAAGATTTATTATTGTTTGAATTACTTTTGAACAATCACTATACATCACTTCAGCTTGTATAGTAAATTTATGCAGCATGAATACACTTCACACCAGTCCAGTTGAAGATATGATACACGTTATCATCAGCAGATAATCATCCACAGTAATATGATTTCTTAAAGCAGTGTTGAATATTGGTTAGGCCTGTGAGTTTGAGGGTCAGCAGACTTAAGATGAGTCACAGTTAGATATTTCTTTCTTTCTGAATAAACTGTTCATTTATTTGAGCCTTGGTTGCTTCATTTCACAAATGGGAATAATAATAGTAACTGCTTTGTAGCATTGTTGTAGACAGTCTATGGCCCTGTCTACACATAAAACACCTCTTTATTCTAAGCACCTATTCATAGAAAGTCTCAAAATATTTCAGTTTAATGCTATAAAATTTTCTTTTAGATGAAGTCAGGAAATGCTACAAAAATGAAAGCATGCCTTTCCTAAAGGTGAATATTTGTTGTATATAAAGATTAATATAACTGGGAATGTTTGGGGTTTGTTTTTTTGTTTTGTTTTGTTTTGTTTTGTTTTGTTTTGTTTTGTTTTTGAGGGGATTGGGTTTTTTGGCTTTTTGTTTTCTGGATTTTTTTTTTTTTTCACTTTTGAGATCCCACATTAGCATGTGTGCCAGCTATAATGCCAAGTGTTTTATTATACATTTCTGATTTCCCTTTCAACATATTAAAGTTTCTTTGAAAGTTAAAAAATCAGGGCCAGCCCCATGGCCTAGTGGTTAACGGAGCCAGATCTCACATGGCCAACTATGCAGTACAAGTCCTGGACCAGGCAGCTTGAGAAACACATTAAGGCCATGTGCAAGCATGCCCCAAATCTCAAGAGGATGCAGAAAAGGAGGGAAGGAGTTGCGGCATGACCAGATTCCATTGGAGTGTGCTTTCTCCCTCCCTCTCCCTCTCTCTCTCTCTCTCTTTGACAAATGAACATACCCTCTGGCAAATAAAAAAAAAGTTAGGAAATACGTAATTTCAGGTTAGAGACAGAAGCTAAGCAGCGAAGAAACTTTAAGTCAATGAGAAGCATTTCCCAATTGAAAGTTAATTAGATATCAAAGCATTTTCCCCAAATTGAAATTGAAGGTCGTTTGCTTATAGGATAAATATAATAAAGGACAGCTGTTTGTCTATAATCTGGAAATAAGTATTTTGCTTACATGTATCCAAAATACCAGATACTACTTTTGAAAATCATTTCACTCAGCTATCCTCCCAAAATTACTTTAGAAAATCTGTACATGTTGTTTGTGAAAAATAGTTTGACAATACGTGTCAGTATTTTTAAAGATATATATCTTAAATGTGTGAAAAGCTTTATGCACAAAAATACACTTTGTAGTATTATGTATAATAGTGAAGTGAACACTAACATCCTATTAATGAATGGTGTAAGAAAGATTTTAAAGGAACATACCATAAAGATCACTGTGGTTTTTGACTGTCAAATAGGACATGAGTGATTTTTATATTTTATGTCTACCTTTTTTGGTGTGTAGAGAATTTATATTACTTAAGGTCACAAATATAGCAAATGACTAAACTGTGACTTTAGTTCATATCTGACCAACTTGACTCCAAATCCCTTACTTTTATTAATTATTATTATTAATTGTCAGAGGATACATACACTCACCAGAGTCATTCAAGTTCCAGGGTCCAGGACTCAAACTCTGCAGTTAGCCATGTGGATCTGGCCATCTTAACCATCAGGCCATGGGCATGTCCAAAGCAAGTCGGTGTTCAGCATTTAAAACTTTTCATATATTGGGTTAGAAAAGTCATGATGTATTTTTGCATAGAAAAAGTATGTCATGACTTTCCAAACAACCCAATATTTTGTTCAGGAACTGCTGCAGAGTCATAATTTGCTGCAGCTGGCCCTTCCAACATTTTCAGTTATACTTCTTTTTAACTCTGATTTGGAATTTTGTCTTTTGCAAGTTTGTGTTCTGTGGTTTAGTTTTCATAAGTTCTAGTAAAATGACTTCTTTTCCTTTTGATGTTGGATCATTGCCTAAGGATGTGTCTTAGTGCTGGGGCGTGGTGAATGGGTGTGAAAAGCTGTTTATATTGAAGAGAGGCACTTTTTTGTTGGTACTTGATTTTCATAGAACAATACAACATACAATCCTGATGTTTTCTAATTTTCTTTTTTTTGAGAGAGAGATTTTTGCTCTAGGCACATGCGCTCACCAGAGAGACAGAAGAAAGTGGCGAGGAAGCAAGAAATCTCCACTCCAGAGGGGATGGTCACACCACACTCCCTTATCCATTTTCCTCTTGAGATTTTGGGCACACACACATTCCCACCTGGAGTGAGTTTCAAGCTGCTGGATCCGGGACTAACCATGGTCAACTATGTAGGAGTTCACTGACATAACCACTATGCCATCTGCTGATCCCTGATGTTTTTCATTCTAATAGGAATGTTCTAATTCTAATTAGAAATGTTCTGATAGAATTAGAAAACATTCTATTATCTGCAGCTGGCTACAAGCCAAATCCTCACGTACAACTTGCAGTTTGAA